AGCCACAGCATCACATTGAAGGCTTATGTTCATCTTGTGGTTGCTCATGACCCTCAAGTCCCTTTCATCTGTAGTGCTAACCAGTATAGCACTGCCGAGCCTATAAGTATGCTGGATTTATGGCACCTGCCTGCCCTCAGATAGTCCTAAGTCAACATTCCCCACTTCCCTGCTTCTACCTACCTGTCTCACACCTATTGTCTCCCATGGTCTTTGATCTGCACTGCCACACATTTGCATTTTCAGACCTGCATTTTGCATATTGGCTTCTATTCCATCCAGGAGAACACAAAACAACAACAGACTCTCCCTGTGTCCATAGAAAGATGTTTGTGCCTGAAAGCTTGCAAAGAACCATTTTTACAACTATTTAGTTGGTCTAATAAAAGACATCACATTTACCTAAAGAACCTTGTCTGCCTATGTCCTGTACAAACTGTCCTTCTTCAGGAGAACTGGTGATCTTCGGTGACAGCTGCTGCATGGGATCCTGGCCACAGGCACCTTTGTCCACCCATTAGATTTGGCACTGCTGGTGGCTCACCCTTTCTGCAAGAAGGTGATGGAGGAGACTGTTCCATGCCTTTCTGGACTGTCCCTGGCGGCTGCTGCTGCTCTTTGCTGTCTTTAGCATCCTTTTTGGTGTCTTGGACTTGAACTCTTTCAAGAACATGTACATCTACTGTGTCCCATACCAAGCAGCCAACAAGAGCATGATCTGCTTGCCCAGCTTCTTCCTGAGCCAGACCAAGATGGCAACTCTGAAAAGCCTCAGAAACCAGCTCACGAGGACTGGCTCCAATGATGTCATCCAACTGTTCTGGTTCTTGGTCCAGGCAGGATTTATAGTTGAATATGGACATTTCACTTTGCAGCAAAATGGGGACCAGCTTGTGTCATGTTTGGCCCTTGAGGGGACACTCCGCAAGGTGAAAGATGAACAGCTGGTCCTAAGTATGCAACCTCATGAAGGGTATTGCTGGGAAAGGGGATTCAGTCTCTAATGAGAAGGTATTTTTGTTGCTGACAAGTGTTTCATGTTTCAAGTATGCATTTTTCCACTTTTATCTTTTGTTTTGTATAAAGGTTTGAAAAATCAGAAGTTTCTCTGTATGTCTCTGTGTCTGTGTATCTTCCCCCCCCCAATATTTTGAAAAAATAGGGAAGAGAAAATATGTGAAGAGACTCCTTGCTTTTCATAAGTGAAGATTTACAGCTGTATGTGCTGAATGTTTCTTTAATTGCACTTAGGTGTGCACTTGCCATTGACTTTTCAAATGAAATAGGTCAGCACAAAACCGTTAAATTGCACATTTAAAAATTTCAGGCATGTTGCTGCAACACAGCAGATTATTCTTTTTATTATCACTTTTGGTGCACAAAGTATGGTGAAACCTACTTGTTCCAGCTGAAACATTTCTTGATATATATACATTTGTTTGTTTGATTGTTACATGTTTTGATTTATAAATTTCTTTCCCTTTTCCTTTTCAAAACAAAGATCATTTTTATGGTGGGACGAGGATATCTGTCTCCAGATCTCAGTAAAGTTAGAAGTAATTGTCCAAAAGCCATGAAGAGGCTAATGGCAGAGTGCTTGAAAAAGAAGAGAGATGAGCGACCCCTTTTTCCTCAGGTAAGAAATGTTCCTGTTTTGGATTGTGGGCAACTCTGAGAAGTAGGCAAAGGCAGGTATAGTATGCACTTGTCATCCAGTTCAAGACTGTTTCTTTGAACTTAGGCTCAAGTTACACGTTCAGATAGTAAAACTGGTAGTTTAGCACAAGGGTGGCTAACATGTGGCACATGTGCCACAAATAGCAAAGGCAGCCTCTGTGTGTGATACGTGGCAGACTGACCAGGGAGCAGAAAGCAGAGCAGCAGATTAGGCAGGGAGTGGGGATTGGAGTGGTACTTGGAGGGTGTGGGACTTAATTTGTGGCATGCCTGACCATAAGGTTGGCCCCCACTGGTTTAGCCCATGGTTAGTATTCTGTAGTTGGCAAAGTGTGTTCAATACAGCAGAATATTAAAATGACTTGTATGTTGTCAGTTTAGCTTTCATGAATTGATGAAGAATTGATGGTCTACTCCCAATACATCCAGTTAATGACACATTAACTTCAGTGTTATACATCCTAAGGGGATGGACAAATGTACATTTTTAGTGGCTTCCAAAGAGAAGGGGGAGCTGCTGCATAGGAATGCACGTACGCATGATTCTGTAGCAAGTCAAATGAGCTACATTGATCTTGAATGAAGCAGGGTTAAAGTTGAGGGAAAGTTGGAGCAGTCTTGCTACACTTATATTGCTATAGAGTTCATGTAACAGTTACAGCAAAATGGGATAGCACTTTTCCTCCCCTTTTTTGAAATTGTTCCAGATGTATATTTGCCCATGTCCTACAGAGCAATTGACGGGTAGTTTTTTTTTTTTTTGTGGTATATTTTTGTGCTGTTTCTGTCTGGGAAAATATCCTTGAATTCTAAATATTTGGGGTTTTCTTTTTTAATGTTGATTCAGTGCATTAAAACAAATATGAGTTCTCCCTGCTGGCTATGCAGTAGAGATTTTAAGCAAGCAGCTTTAAAAGCTGTGTTTATTTTTGGTGACATCCTGGATGCTGTTGTACAAACAAGGAAGTAAACAAAAGGCAGCCATGTTGCTGTCTTCATCAGACTCCCACAGCAAAGTAAGTGTTTGTTAAGGTGAAATATGAAGTAGTGTCTTGCAGAAGGGATTTTTTTTTAGATTTCTGAGGAAATACAACAGACATGAAAATGCAAAATGTTAAATCTTTTTTTAATGATGATTTAATTGTCTTTGATTGTAACTTGTTACCTAGAATTAATCAATGTTCTGCCCATGGCTTTACAGTGATGTGTTACCACTCTGCAGTACCAGATTTGATTTCCCCCCCCCCCTTGTTTTCTCACTTATTTTAGATACTTGCCTCCATTGAGCTTCTGGCCCGGTCATTGCCAAAAATTCACCGCAGTGCATCTGAGCCCTCGTTAAACCGGGCTGGTTTCCAGACGGAGGATTTTAGTCTGTATGCTTGTGCTTCTCCAAAAACACCCATCCAAGCAGGGGGATACGGTGGGTTTCCTGTACACTGAAAAGAGGTTGAAAGCGTGTGTGTGTGTATGTATGTGCACGTGTGCTGACATGTTCCCATATATGTGCACACATGTGCATATGTTCTGAATTCCTACCAGCTGTTCTCTTTTAAGGTGCACTGAGGGAATAAAGACTCACTTAATGCTGGCTTTGTCCCTGGCATGAAGTCTGTTGCTGGCAATGGAAAGCCTGGGAACTGCTGTCACAAAAAAGATTTTAAGGTCACTTAAGAGAAAAGGGAAAAGTCACTTCAAAGCAAAATAATTGCTTGGGTCACTGGGTTATACCTTGCATTTACTTTTGCTTGATTTGCCATCTTATCTAAGTTTACTGGTTAAGTTAGTTACTCTGAGGATGGTGTCTTTAAACTGGTCAATCTGCCTTAAATTTTTACAACTGAATCATCATTGGGCATGAGAAATAGGTTTTAGATTCTTAAGTTAGAAGTATTGCTGATATGAGTAAGTGTGGAAAGTGAACTTGGCTGCAAGGCTGAACACAGTCAAAACTTAGATTTAGTTAGCAGAGGTGAGAAAATACAACACAGAATGTAAAGGAAGACCTTGGCAACGTGTACTCCTTTCTTTTTAACTTTATGATTTAAAATAGTGATAGTTAGAAAACATCTTTTCCTGGAGAGGAGATCTGTATTTTGTCTAAATGTTCTGACCTGATGTGGTTGAACACCTTCTACAAATGTTTCCTTTTGCAAGAAAAAAAATTCTGAATTATTCCTACTGCATCTGAACAGCACATATATTACTAATAACCATCAAATTCTTCAGAGTAGCAGGGACCATAAAATAAGAAGCACAACAGCAAAGGATCACATAAGCAAATGTATGTCTGCTATGCAGTAACATGTTACTACCCATAATGGGAAAACACATTCTGAAAAAAGTGAAGAGGTAAAATTTAAGAGCAGATTTTGATGAAAAAACAATATATTATGAATATTGTTAAGAAAATGATCTGCTCTTATATTACTGTTTTAGTTATTAATATTGCTGGAGTGGTCTCTATTCTGTAGAGAGCTTTTTTTTTTCTTCTTTCTCTTTTTTACTCGTGTATAGAAGTTATGAACTGGACTGCAAAGATCTAGAAAGATAAACTACAAAGCACTAGTATCATCACACCAGTTCACTTATACATTTTAATTTTTTTTGTTAGACTTTTCATCTGGAGCAGGTAAATCAGAGTAGTTCTGTCGGTTTCAGATTATACTGACCTCTGGGTGACACACATTAAATGTTTTCACAATACAGACATTGAGTCATTTTTCTCTTGTGTTTCTGACCTGTGATCTGGTATATTTGGCAATTGTTTTAAATGTTAAGGTGTTACCTTGATAGATTCCTCTCTATAGAAGAACAGCTTTTGCTGTTCTGGTTAGGCACTCGAGATGGGAAGTATTTCCTAATTGACTTCTGGCTGTATCATTTATAGTAAAGTTTGCAGTGTTGCCATTTAATATGTTATACTCTAAGGGTGGGGAATATATAAAGTTTACTTTCATGCCATGTCCCTCTGTTAGAGTTGGGTGTCTAACCGTGTGCTCACAGATCCTTTTAAAATAGTAGTTGGTATTTAAGGGCTAAGAGAGGATAAGTGATTCCTCCATTCCCTACACTATAATAATCTTCTCCCTTTAATAGTTTTCTGTATTCACCTAGAGTAGTCTCAGAGCTAACTCTGTTGTTTTTCATTGTGGTAGACAGCAAAACTAATGGCAAATAGTTGTTATTAGTCTTAGGTTTAGGTAGAAACGGTGGTATGTTTTAATTTTGACTAGTTTCTCATCTTTTTATTTTTCCTTACCATGGCAGACCCATCTTAAAATGAGGATTTAACAAGGGTTTTTTTTCCATGTGTCAGTGACATTTCTCATTTCATATAGTCAAGAAAATTGCTGCTTAAGCCTTGGGAAATGGCATTCAGCTGAAGGCTATGTATGATGTCTTCCCTACTAGGTGGAAGTATCAAGTACCATGGCTTTTAAACCTCCGACAGTATCAAAGCATAAAATGATGCAAAATCCCAGGCAAAGAGGGCTTCTCCTCTTGTAAAATTATTTCTGGAAGTGATAGGTGCTTCAACAAAGATCCCACAGTCAGAGCTGGATTGGCTTTCCTGGGTCTTGGAGTCTTAAAAAGCTTCATCTACATTAGAGCATTCTTTGCCTCTGTCTCATGAAAGCACCAAGAGCCCATTGAAAATGCTGGTGATGATGTCAGAGAACATGGAACTGTCACTGTTGTCTTGCCCCAGTATTAGGGTCCGTTATCATTTTAAGTAAGATTTTTTTGTGTGTGTGTGTGTTGTTTCTAGAGCAGTTTTCCTCACTAGTGGTGTGCCAGCAGGACCACAATATTGGAAAACTCAGTGCCATTCTTAAATTTGTAGAGCTTTTTTTCCTGCTCTATCCAAGCACAGTGCATCGGAGTTCTGCAAGTCACTTTCTTGCATGTATCATTTAACTACTCTTGTTAACCATAGCTAAGTCCTTAAGGAGACACTGTGCTGAAATGTCATGTTCCGTGTTCTTCATTCTGTAGGCTTAGCATACAGAATGAATTCACTCTTGGTAAGCACTGACATCTTTAAGACATCAGTTGTTTTAGGAATAAAGAATCTGAAAGACAGAATCTATTGTCATGTGTCCAGACAATAAAACATTCTCACAAAGAATGTTTTCAGCTGTCATTCTTGGGACTTTTCACTGTATCCAGGACCTATGCAAAATCAACATCCAACTGCTCGTGGTTTCTTTGGGGACCTTGTCCCTACTCCCAGGACTGTTTCAGGATCTTCATTTCTTTTCTAGAAGCTTATTTTTATATCTTAACATGGCAAAAAAATACAGGAAGCCTCTTAAACTTATGGTGAGAAACAAGCCATAAAAGTTATTAGTCCTTGGGCTAGTTGTTGCTCCAGGTTATATTTGCCAACCCCAAATCCACAATGGTATTTAAGTACCTAACTGCCATTGATTTCAATCGTGATTTCAGTAAGAATTAGGTACCTAAATAGGATTTTGCCACCATAGCACTTTTCTGGATATGGGCCTTCGTCATGTCTGTGCTAGAAGGTCCAATAAGATTTTTATCTACACAGGTGAAGCAAGATGGAAAGCTGCATTTTTGTCACCTCCCTTCCCCCTCCCCTTTCCACCCCCCATCACAAGTCTGTGAATTAAGTACCTCTGCCAGCTTGGCTATTAAACAAGTCATGCCTTCATTTCTAGGGGAGCTCACATTATGCCAATAAGTTCTTGACCCCTGAAGGTGCATATTTACCAGACTACAACCTTGCATCCTTTTTAGACATGTAGATTTTTTTAATCTCATATGCTGTCTAGGAAAAGAAGCTAGGTGACAGGCTTCTTATAAAATATAAATATATTGCTGTTTGGCCAGATCTAGGCTTCCCGTCTTAGCATGTCCGTATGG